ATAGTAATTGTAAAGCGAAAGAGAATATTTGGAACTCTATCGATAGACAATGGACGAAAATATAATTCTTTTCTAAGTGATGTTGTTTTCTTCCATCTTTCTTTATATGTACCCTTCAACGTCTGAATCTTTGCTCACAAATCAGTAGCTACAAGTTGTGATCCAGAAAGGAAAAAAATACACGGCTTTGTTAATATATAAGATCGTCAAAACATTCTAAAAGAGATTTTGTTTGATTTTGTATTAATAGATCTTATTTCTGACCACGAAACCGAATAATGTAAGAAATTACTTCATATAGGTCTACATGAGAGAAGTAAGTTGTTCTAGATCTATAGCTATCATTTATTGCAATAATCGAACAAACATTAGTTACTGTGTTACACTATCTCTGTAAGTTTTAAAGATCCAAAATGAAATAAAATATTATATTCATTATATAAGTCAACGAATATTATCAGGGTAAAAATCATGTCAACTTGGGCTATGGCAGACGAAATAAAACAACAACTATTAATTTCATGAATTACATTATTTTCTTATTTCTGAAACAACGGAGGTTTTTATGATGAAAAAAAATAACTTTAGATACTTTCTATTCCAACATGTATTAAGGAAGTATGACACCAGGTGATTTAGAGGTAAAACTGAGGCTTTATAACGCTTAAATTCAGAGTTCGATCCCTGTGGTCGGTACAGCCCAGATATTGTATAGCTTTTTTGCTTAACAACTACAAATAAAACTGAAGGACAAAACATAAACCTTGAATAATTTTCTATAAAAGCTCCATTTTACTCAATACTGTAATTCCGAGGTTAAAAAATAATCTGTAATGTTTTTATTAAGTAAATCCTGTAATCTCAATTTCAGAAAACTAATTGTTTTTCATTAATACACTAAACAAAAGTTTTATAATTATACACTGTTTTACATGATTTTGGAAATTCATTGTATAGTTTGTGAAAAAACAACAGTAACATGTTTTATTTACCTAAAAAAAAGCACGCATTCAGACTGGATTGCGTTAAATAAGAACGTAGCGTTAGTGTAAGATTGTTTGTTTCTAAAGAAGCAGAAAAGTATAGAATGAGCTATTTGTGCGCGGTCCAAATAGCTCATTTAGCGTTATAAGCCCTCAAACATCCTGCTGAATAATCGAACGGCATTAGAGTAAACATACATACAGCTGAAACAAAAGCCATTTAAATGGAACGTTACACACAGAGTTGAACCTTCACACCATAGAAATGAAGAGAGAAAATAATAAAATTATTGAAATCAGGACCTAGCGCGACCCAGTAGCTAACGAACCAGACTGTAGAGCTGAGGTTCATTGTTCGCGTCCCCTTATTGCAAAAAGGATCTTGCTCCGCAGTTTCGAGTTGTGAATAAGAAGTGGCAGTCATATCCCACTATTCCGTCTGACAAGAGTAGCTAGCCCAAGAATTGGCGATGAATGATGTTGACTAGTTGCCTTCCGTTTAGTTTTGTTTTTACATTAGCCCTAGTGTAGATTTATGCAAAATGCAAAAAACAAGCAATTAAAAACATTTTGTATTTAAAATAAAGTCGATATGTTTACCCATTGGATCTCCACTCTGCAGACAAAATATATCATTTTGTTACATTATGTGTACCAATAATTATCCACTTTTGTAACAAGTTGTATCTTATGGTTGATTGAACATTTCATCTACATTTTCAAAGTTTAGGGTTTCAGATTATAAGAAATTTATTTTTATGGAAACTAATTCGACAATAAGAATAATATAAAACTAGACAAATGGTTTTAAGAAAATATAAGGAGTGGGAAAAAATCCTGTTTTATTGAAATTGAGCGATAACAGTGTTTGGCATTCGCTTTAATAGTATTACAGTTATATATCAGATTGTAACTCTGATTTTGAGCTGATGACCTTGAAGAAATATATTTAATGAAAAGACATCAGTGAAAACAAATTATAGTATTTTTTTATTATTCTCATTTAAAACACACATATATTAGAAGTATGAAATCTGATCTAATTAGTAATGTGGATTACATACAGCATTGCATTAGACAATATTGTTCTTCCTTATTTAAAACACATATACATCAGAAATATGAAATCTATTCTAATGTATGTGTGTTTTAAATAAGGAAGAACAATACTGTCTAATGCAATGCTGTATGTAATCCACATTACTAATTTTATTATTTTCTTAATTTTTACACAGAGGTCAAAGATAGCCCTTAAAGTAAAAAGTATTTTATAAATTTTAAAGTATTTGAGACTTTAACCCCATGCCTTTCAAAATAAAGTTTTGTCTGTAATTTTTGGTGAACCGTTTGTGATGTCGTTTGTTTGAAATCACGATGTTTTTATGCACAACAAACATTTGGTCGTCCAAGCACCGTTCCGAAATTAACGTGACATGTATTGTATTTTCTGATAAAAATAACTTTGTTGTAAGAGTATTCCACTTAATCAAACTATATAATAACAATGCGAGTTGTAGTTGAATATGCAAAAAAAACCAACCATAAACTGAAGAAAATGAAATGATATTCATAGTGACTGTAATCACGTTTGATTTTCTGACATCAAAGCTTCTGTTTCGTCATGATACTATTGTTGTTTCACGTTTTTCTTGTATATCGCAACTTTCTATTTTCTGTTTCATTAAACGATAAACATTGATAAAAGTAAATGTCCTTGCTAAGACGTGGAATTACTCTAATGTTTGGGTATTGTAGTGTTTATGGATCTCAGAGAATGATGTAATTAGTCTCACAATTAGGTACTGTAGTGTTTATGGATCTCTGGGAATTATGTAATTAGGCTCACAATTAGGTATTGTAGTGTTTATGGATCTCAGAGAATGATGTAATTAGTCTCACAATTAGGTACTGTAGTGTTTATGGATCTCTGGGAATTATGAAATTAGGCTCACAATTAGGTACTGTAGTGTTTATGGATCTCTGGGAATTATGAAATTAGTCTCACGATTGGGTATTATTGTGGATTATATACTGTAGTGTTTATGGATCCAGGGAATGATGATTCGAATACTCTCTTTAAACAGCATCCAAACAGCATATATACTTTATGTTGATTTACTTTGGAGTAAACGACAAAAAGACTTCTTAGAACATAAAACTTTGTATGAAATATACCATAAATCACAGATTTTCAGGAAAAATCAACAACTGGAAACCAGTTATATTATAAACACGTATAATTACCAGAGTTTTTTTGAATTTTAATTTTCTTAAAACCATTCCATATTAATACTATCTAAAGATACGAAAGTCATAAAACATAACAGAAGATGAGAAACACTTCTTAGAAATAGCTTTTAATCATTCAGTTTCAATGAATACTTTCAATAGACCCCTTTTATTGATACTTGTTAACTTCAGATTTTAGTCTTGGTTCTTAAAGTGCTTATCTCAATTATATAACATATGAATTTATTAAAAATAGTTCGAAAACATAAACTTAGGTATTGTCGTGGCAAACATGTGTTGGAGCACATAAAAGCAATTAAAATGAGCCTAACTGAAACAAAACATTTTGTCAAAAAAGTAAAAAATAAACAACTAAAACATATTTATAGTAAGTGACACATCGTTTAACCGTGTTTAAGCTTTTTTTTTCTCTTTACTATACAGTCTATATTAAAGTCATGTTTGACTATACACTTCCATTACTTATTTGCGACCATTAATATTTCAAAACATTGCAGTTATATAATGAATTATTTATACTTTCGTGAAGATTTAGATCAAACATGGGACTGTGTACAATGCCATTATGAACTGTATAATGCAATACCCATTTAAACTAATGGCATGTTTGCCTGACACTTAAACTGTTAAAAGTAATATTTACGCATTTGAAATCTAGCTGCACATGATGTTGTTTAAATAGAATAATTCGACCATTATAACGTATCACTAAACTGGCCTCACGCAGTACTTAGGCAGTACTTACAAGGGTCAGTCATCTAATTCAATATTTTCAGACATGTAACTGAAAATAGAAGTATATGCACAGTTTGATTTATGTATGTTTATGATAATCCAAGTTTTGGCGAGTGCTTCACCAACTCGACTAAAAGGTTGACCTACTAGGCTACTAGTAATTGGTATTAAAGTATTTAGATATCTCAAACGATAATACGTTTAGCCAATAAAAATAAAGCAAGCTTTCTCCTAATACTTCTTCTCCATCTTTCTAATTTTCCTTTCAATCTCTATTAGCACGTTCATAATAATTATTGAAATATCTTTTAACTGTACTTATGTTTTCAATCTCCATTATGTTTCATTTTTATTGGTTAAAACTAAGTGTTTACAATGACTTCAGACGTTATTAATTACTTTCAATAGTATCAGTTGTGACTTTTATCTTATTTAAGAATGGAAATCATTAAAACTGATTTTAGACAAAGGAACAGAAATTTTAAGATCATGTTAACGTTCGTGCTACAAAAAACCAAAATATATTTGGAAAAATGAAATATAATCTGACCAAATTAGGGAATTATATGAGAAATGGACGGAATATTTTAATATACAGAGTATGTCATTATATCAATATAAATCTCGTTGAATAAAACAAAGAAGAAAAATATAATTAAAGATAAGTTTGCCATTTTTATTTGTTAGTGGTTTTCAGAATGCTCTGACATAAAACTTAACATTGTTCCCAAGGTTTATGAAAGTGAAAATTGAGTGAGCTATAGATAATATGGAATGAGTTTTGTTTCTACAAACTCTTCAGCAGAAGGCCAGTTATAGACATATCTGACAATAATCTTGATTCGATTATGTTCTATCAGGCTAACTTTTACCACATATACCGAGATAAATTTATCTTACCACCTAGACAACAGATCTTGATCTTGTCAATCATACTGGCTAGATACGATGTCAACTAGTTCAGATCCGCACATATCTCAAATTTATCGGATAATTTTGTATTTTATATTTTCAAATTAAAATAATACTTACTGCTATTCTGGAATGTGGTGTTAGCCAAACATAATGTCCAGTAGCAGTAGTAGATTGGAGCATTGGAAAGAACTCCACACTCGGTGCATCGTTATATCGCAAGTGTCGTCTCCGGTGTCTCTGCCTGCGCGGCTTGGCATGTCGCTTCACCCGGATACTCGATGCTTGAGAAGAATGAAGACTCGTTTTCAACGAGAAATTATTCCACTGTTTTTTTATCCTGCCCTTCATTGTTACATCTTTGGTGTCTTCGGGTCGTTTCTTTCTTAAATATCGTGATATATAGTGTTTGATATCCTTAAAACTATGACTCTCTTGGGAGCCTTTCCTGCTGTTCTGAGCAATTTCATTTGCTCGTCCACGTTCGTCGTCTACTTCACCAACAAATATATCTGTTGGCGTTGGTTCTATCTGCGGATCGCTAGTCTGGATGTACAGTTGGTCAGCGCTAAAGAAAGAACTAGACCCTTGCCTCTGACTACAGAGATTAGAGATATGGAAAGTATAATAAAAATTAAAAAATAATCCTACATAAAGGAAAAATATTAAAACAAATAAAAACTTTACTCGGAATTCAAAGCGCTCAGCTGTTGCTGCAAGAGCTGCCATTTCGTTCACTAGAGCGCCACATGGCACATCAGACCACGTGCTCCACTATTCAACTTACAGCCAATGAAATACGAGCTCTTGCATCCACCGTCTTTTTATTTGATTCGAACATAAATAAGAAAATATTGAAGCTTGGAAACTGTGGTACATATTCTAGGAATCGAAGATCCCCGGTCAGTTGTTGAGGTTTTTTTAACTGAAAAAAAAAATATATACAGAATGGTAACAATATTCCTAAAAGAAATTCCATATAACAATCTTTTCCTGAGGATAAAATAACTGCGTTCTTTGAACTTCGTTTTATACATTTATTTATCTATAAAGATCACACAACAGCTTGTTTATTTTTAGCATTGAAATAAAATACATCGCTTAAAACTTAGATGTTGGTGTAATCATTAGTTAATGACATTTTATAAACACAAAAGTTTCATACACACATACATAAAGATAGATAGACAAACAGCTAGATAGAACAATCTTTCAGACAAGAAGGGTTTGGATTAAAACAAAAAGTGTCGCGCCTCAAAGACGGACAGATAAAACTATAGGAAACAAACTACCCTTGACAAGGGCAAAATGTATCTTACTGAAAGAAACGTCTCGAGTATATAACTCAATCAACGGTACATTGTCTATCAAAAATTGGTATCTATTTTAAAACCAAACAGGCGAGGAAGAAAAAAAGTAAAACTAAGAGTATCTAAAAGTAGTTGTTTCTAATGAAATAGAATTATAAAAATAAAAGAATTGATGAGTAAAATGTATCCCCTGAAGTTGCCATTCCACCTAAGATACCTAAGTTCTACACATACATCAATTACTCTGGAATTTTGAGAGTTTAGATACATAACTGTTTTTTCACCCTTCGTTCATCAATATCTAGGAATTTTGTAGATTACTACTTCATGTAAAACACGTTTATTATTCTGGATGTTTCTAATATCTACTTTATTGATATATGTTTGTGTATGCATGTATAAATAAACAAGTAAAACCACTGAATCATAATGTTAAAACTAATATTTCTTTTAAGTAAAACTTTTATTAGATTCTATTTGCGTTTACTTTCAGTTCCAACCATTGTCTTTTAAATTTATCGCGTTATATAGAGTAGCAGTCAAATTCAATTTACCATAACTTTTTAATATCTTTTATCAACCCTTTGCGTATCAACTTTTATTTTTGTTATTTTCTTTTTCCTCCAGGATTACATAATCAGATCTTAATTAATCCGCTAAAATATGCAAGAGAAAGAATTCCTCTCATTTTCAAAATAGTGAATGCTTGTCTGGCAGGAGCATTATTAACAAAAGCGCTTCTTTAACTAAGTGTTCAAAGACATATACTATGAGGTCTATCAAAGTGACAATCAAAAGGCAATACTTCTATAATGAGATAAAAATGTGGCTGCCAACCACTGGTGACAGACCGTTTCCTATATGAACAAATTCCAATTTCTTTAACACCTACCAGGTTTCAACTATCTTCAAGCATACTCTGCAAATGCCATTATAAAAACTGTCATATCGCAGATGAGAACCGAACTGAAAACCTTTTACCACTTATCTCAGATACAAACAGTAAGTCATAGAAACAATGGCGTTTAAAACGGACAATTCATGGACAATGAATAACTAGAAGATGTCTGAGGAGTTGCAATTTACATTTCCTTATACTGACTTTAGAGTATAAAGTTGAAGAAACCCACATTAGACACTTGACTCGACTTGTGTTGTTCCTTTAAGACAAGCAGTTGGATGTGGTGTAATGGTGTGGGGATGTTCTTGCGGTAACAACTGAACCCTTTAGCTACTTTAGAGGACAAATAATGTATCTCAAAATATAACCCCATTACATATGTCTGGGTTAACTTCTACATTTGGCCCAGTATGGCCAGGTGGTTAGGGCGCTCGACTCGCAATCTGAGGGTCGCGGGTTCGAAACCCCGTCCCACCAAACATGCTCGCCCTGTCAGCCGTGGGTACATTATTATGTGACGGTCAATCTCACTATTTGTCTGTAAAATAGTAGTCCAAGAGTTGGCGGGGGGTGGTGATGAATAGCTGCATTCCCTCTAGTCTTTCACTGCTAAATTAGGGACGTCTAACGCAGATAGCCCTCGTGTAGCTTTGCGCGAAATTCAAAACAAACAAGCTTGTATAGTTAAAGCTCGCATTTCTGTTAATTGAATTAATATATGTCTGTCTGTATGTGGTGTTGCCTGTTATAATATTTTATCTCATATTTATCTTTATTGTTGTTAGAAGTATTTAATAAATTAATATGAACCAAGTTTTACTCTGAATTTCGATAAAGTATTTAGGCTCAGTCTAAATGATAGCTGTATTGAAATGGTAATATTTTCTTTAGAACATGAAGGTAATTTAATTTCCATACAAATATATACCTGTCCTGACGTTTTGAGAGAAAAATGAGATAACCCTTTTTATGTATCTCTCGTCATAAAAAGACGATTAGCAGTTTACGGTTACTCCATGAACGTCGCTCTTAAGTCTAATTTTACACTAGAATTTCTTTATCTCAAATATTGTATGTTTTATGACTATTGCTTGTTATGGAAGATTACAGGAAAGAATAATATACAAGCTTTTTACAATAATATTTTTTCAATGATATATTTGTAAGTTTATTTTTCATTTAATGAATATATATATATATAGTTCTTGAAATAACAGAACAGCTCTTATTTGTACCGGTCATTATTTTTTTGGTATAAAAGCATACATGCGCACATACTATGTGTTACTTCCTCCTTCTATTAATACAGGCTTTGTTTTCTAAGTTTGATATTTGTGTTGGTCATTAAGCTGCTGTTGCATCTAACTGTCTACTGTTTTGTAGGATAGTACCTTTTATCTACCCGTGGGAATCATAACTGGAAGGTCTTATGTAATGTATGAGGTTAAGTAGCTGTTGTTGTTTTTATTGTCAGACAGGTACTATCTCGAGGCTATGACTTCCTTTATGATTTAATGGGGCTTACTATTCATGTGGAAAAATCTGACATTTCCAATTTCTATGAGTGATGTGATGTTTATTCAGTTTGGTATAAGATACCTTCTAAGCAAGCATGGAACAATTTAAGAAGGAAAAACCTCATAGATAACTCTCCACAAAAGGCAACTGTCTGCTGTGAGAAGTAAAGTCCAATTTCACTATGTTAATATTTTGTATATTGTGACTGTATACTGTTTATAATGTCTTTTTTCTTATAATGTTTACAAACTTAGTTTAATCAAAAAAATGCATAATTATTTCATCGGAAATATCTTGACGAAGGTCTGATGGTCCACCCAGCTTTCTCAGGGCAGGGTGGAGCTCTTGACCTCTACTTGTAAAGATAAAGGGTGAAATATCGAGTTTCTTATAGATACAGAATGGGTCAGAACCTTGGTAGGTCACATGATATATCAGGACCGCCAAGCAACTCCACCACTTTGGCTAGTAGATGCAGACTTAGTTCTCGTGAATTGGAACTGAATGGAGAAGCAAGTGTCTGACTATGTCTAGCTTTCTTTGCTCACAGAAAGAAAAATATTATTGCTGACTTAGATTCCGGCATAAACTTTATTGGAATGGATGTGCTGTGAAGTTTACTAGAACTGGTGAAATGATATTCTGTGGAATAGTTCTCTGATTCCAAACAAACCAAGACCAGGAAAATGGACTGCTACCACATCTGAGATAAGATTGTCAAGTGTATGAATGCCACGTTTGTAAATCTTGACTGAAATTATTAGTACAAACACTTACCATATGTCATAATGGCATACAGAGCAACAGAACAGGGACCAACGGGCTGTTTGCCACATGTTCAGGTAGGCATGTGATGTATTACCCTCCCAATAGATAAGACATTGCACAATGTTCACAAGAATATGGAGAGTGGTTAATAGTATTTAGTTGATGTATATAAGCTCACACATCTACTGCTAGGAATGACTTTAAATGGCAGAAGAGGTACTATGATAAAAAAAGTGAATTAATATGGCAGTGTGGATATCTAGTGTGGCTTTGATATATGCCAGCAGCGTGAAAGCAAGTTTTGATGAAGCTAGACAGGACCTTATCTTGTGCCCCAATGAGTCAACTCATTGATATAAGAGTTACAGCAGTCGAGAGATGCACAGCAGTGCTTAATACATATGAACCAACTAGTTCTGTATATTACTGATGTCTTTTGCTGCACTGGGTTGATCAGGAATCAGATAAACAAGTCAGAGCAGGGCGAAAGCACTGTTTATCTCATGCTAACCCAGAGGATGAAGAGAAGAGCTGAAAGTACTTATCTTGCCATACACAATTAGCAAAATAAGGAAGCACTGAATCGAGAGGCAAGAGACAGCTCCATGATTTGCCTCCTGATTGACATGGCTGGATTGATTGATTATCCTAAGTTAGGAGGCTGGAATGAGTAGATGCAGTAAGTAGTATATCAAACTTTTTACAACAAAAGATGGTAGCTAGAGGTTCAATAGCTCAGCTGAAAGGAATTGCAATCCTTACTTTCTGAGCTATTGAGCAGAACCGCACAAAGAGTTTTCCACCAGAAGATGAGGTTTAGCTGCTCAATTAGTATAAGCTAGGGCAGCTGATTGATTGAAAGATTGACTGGACCAAAAGAGTTTAGCAACTCTTGCTTTCTGAGATATCAAACAAGATTTTAAAAGAAGAGATATACCAAGGATATTTGGTAATGGCTGATCAATTATCACGATCTACAATAGTGATGTGGTTAAAATATCACTGACTAAAGGGATGTTGCAATTCTTGTTTTCTGAGCTATTGAGTCATTTTGTGAGGCAAAATGTCATTTTTGAATAAATCAGTCATCTGGTTTGGCTGAATAGAGAGAGCTCTATGGAGAATGATCCTCACTAGATTCTCTTCAGTATAGTTAATTGTGTATTTTGTTTCTCCATATATATTGATATATATGTATGTTAGAAACAGTATCAATATTAATTCTAGTTAAT